TTGTGTGGATGCGAACCCTGTGCCTTGCGTTATCTCGAAAATAGTACGTTTTCGGGCCTTGCTGTATGCATCAAAATCTTCAAGGTCCTATTTCTATCGCATCGATCTACAGACCTACCACCGTTCCAGTATTGAAGCCTAGCAAAATGTTTGTATCGACTTTATTTATTTTAGAAAGACAAACAAAAGTGGATTCGCTTACCCCCCGTGAAATTCTGAATCCAACGGTACTCTATTCATGGTATTTATGTGTGGATGCTGCTATGTTGCTATGCTATGCTGCTATGTAAAGGGGGCCAAAATGTTGGAGAATTTTGGATGATCTTAAGGGGACGATGCAGGTTTATTATGGTGTAGACCATTTGATCAGCAAGGAAGATTTGTTCGAAACAATTGGCAAGTCAGCTGGTCTGGACGAAGTAACCCGAAATGCAGCACGTACAAAGGATACAAATGAATTAGAGAACGATACAAAAGGACTGTAGTTTTGTACCTTTACAAGAAAGGAGATACTAGGAAATGCAATATCCATCGAGATTCATTCCAGTTTATTGTACCATAGAAACTCTACTCCAGAATCGCAGAAGCTAGAATAAGAAATATTGTCGATTGCCAGAGCGATATGGGTTGAGAAACTCAAGTTGCAAATTGGAACTGTCTTCACTTTAAGGCAGGTTATAGAGAAGTCCATCGAGAAAGAAAAATAACTCTCTATCTGCTTAGTGCCTCACACTTTGGATTTTGCTAATATCTACTAGTCTTTCCGAAAAGCTCGTTTTCCTTTCAGATTCATTAAAAAATCGTTTGCAAATGCACTAAACAGAAGCAGAGCTATTTCACATTCTCGATAGGCCTCTCTATAACCTGCTTCAAAGTGAAGATAGTCCCAATGTGCAACTTCAGTAGCAATCGAAAATAAAGTGGTTTTCACCATAATAAATCTCCATCGTCCCATCATTATCATCCAAACAGATCCAGCATTTGGGGCCCCCTTTTAGCATCTTGAAATATTTTGTTCATCGGTCTACTATATATTCGTTTAGCCATATAACAGATACTGATCCTTGTTTTCTTTTCCGAGATTTCGGCACTTTCTTTCTCGTCCGCTTAATGTATTTTTCCAATGTTTGGGTTCAATTTCACGCTTTCCCTCATTTTGAGACCAAATACTAACAATCAGTTCCATTTACCTAGAAGAACTTATAGCTTAATCCTTTCCATCTTTCTTTGTGCAGAGAGAGAAATGTATTCAATATTAAAATTTTCTATTTTCTTTTATGATATGGTCCAACTTCCGAACAAAATAAAGGAAATAAAAATGATCTTTTTAAGTGATATATGAATTTTACTAAACAATCCATCAACTATTCATTATATGTAGTTCAGATTAGGTATATATTATTTTAGTTTATAAAAAAGGTATTAATATGATTCATTTCTGGGGAAGAATATACAATTTAAATTACCTCTAAGAATCCATAAATATATAAAACAAAGTTTTAAATTCCAAACGTTAAATAAAAAACTCAAGATATTCAGCAAAGTATTTTTGAATTATGTTTTATTATTATAATTATACATTTTTTACAATAGAGACCTTCTTAAATGACCTCCGTATAGAATAAAGGAAGTTAAATTTAAAAAAATAATAATAATAAATTTTAAAAAATATATAATTTTTTTTGACAATTAAATAATTGCATTAATATTAGTTTGTTAATAAAATCAATATAATGCACCAAAAACGTTATTATAGAATTATAACTAAGCTATTTATGAGGATTGAATGGTGTGGTAGAGGCCTGAAGGCAACTACGCCAGTACAGCTTTTCTGCCGCTTAAGTGCATTTTCTATGGAACTGCTTCAAATATTTTCAAAAGTAATCAGTGTTTTAAAAAGAGAAATATACTCTTCAGATGTTTTATTTCAGCACGTTTTGCGTTGTTGTTGGCCATTTAATTACAAACCACAATTTTCAATTTCAAAAAAATTATTTTTTTATTTCCTTTATTTTGTTCGGAAATTGGTCCATATCATAAAAAAATAGAAAATTTTAATATTGAATGCATTATTTTATTCTTTCTGCAAAAAGCAAGATGGAAATGGCGAAGCTATAAGTTCTTCTAGGTAACCGGAACTGATTGTTAGTATTTGGTCTGTTTTGTCATGTTTTATTATTCTCTGACTATCCAGCTTTAATAAAAGACCAACTATGACAAAATTAAGCCAAATGCTGATTCTCAGTAATCTAAAAACTAACTAAAGTCAAAATCGTCAATCCGTCATGTTTGAACGCCATTTTGGCGTTCACGTTTTTTTGTGGGTACATTGGCTTTTTTTCTAATATATAGTTACAAGGAACACAACAATATGCGATTTATAGGGATGTGGGGGGAGGGGGTGCACGGTAGGGGGGTCTGGCCCACAAACTATAGGAAAACCTGGGAGGAGTTTGCAACCAGGAATCTGGATTGGAAGAGAAGGGAGCTGGCACAAAGATCAAGCTCAACAGAAAGAACCCTCACACTGCACCAGGCTGTAGACAAGGAGAAGATAAAGTGAGTAGAGAGAGAAATACTTTATTTAAAGCAGTGCTGCCCTACTATATAGGGTTGCTCAATACACAGCATACTCATCAATCCTTTTTTTGGACATACAAATTCTTTTTCTTATTACACAGCACAAACAATATCAATACTGTACAATTTTTTTAAGAAAAAAAAAATTATATATACATATATATAAATATACATACACACACACATATATATTGTTACAATAATCTCCATTGCGGATGATTGGGAGTACACTATATAATATCAAATATTCTCAACTTTTATACACCCAAAAAAAAAAAATACTCAACTACAATTAATATTATCAAACAATTAGTGTCGTAATAAGTTAAATTTTGGAATGTAAATAAAAGATGATTCTAATTAAAGAAGGCTATATTTCTCAACTATCCTTGATGTGAAAACGGTATAAATCATGACACATCATTTGGTACATCAAAATATCTAAAAAAATTGGCATTATTCATGAAAAGATGTCGCCCACTGTGCAATAATAAAAGTTGAATAAAAAGGAGAAGTACGAATCATTATTTTCAAGAATGGGCATAATTCAGTTCTCTATTTAATAAATACTATTAAAAATAACTATAGAATAAAGATCCAAAACCAACAATCAGTCAAGCATATAATTAAATATAATTTTATAGTATACATTATTATGCTAAAGATTGGAAATTTAGTTAATCTATTAGTTAATCACTAATAACTCATAATCAATGCACTTTTCAAAACTGCATATTTTGGAGGATCATTTAATTTCCTGCAAATCTCTTGAAAAATCCTTAATATGTTAGAAGGTGAGCAGCCGTTAGAACGTACGTATTTTGATCGATCCCAACTGTCATTCTCAAGTTGAAATCTGTTCATCATTTTCACTTGTTTAATTTGTGTTATTTGCCTTAATATAAAAGAGTATTAGAACATAGAAATGAATTGAACAAATCATCAATTTGATTCTTTTATTCTATTTTATTTTATTGTGAGTGCGATAAAATTTTAAGTTATTGTATGGAATGAGCCTCCATGTTTGAACACTAACGCCCGCTAACCTATCACAAGCTCTGTACAGAGTTTATAATAAAATTATTGTTCAGGAGATGCAGGAAAAAACTGAGAAAAGCATATACTTATAAAACATACACTTAATGATGGGAGGTATAACTCGACTACTTGTAAATATAAATAGTATAGAACTATAATGAAAATAATCAATATTATGACAGTTTATAAACTTAAATTATGTTAAATGTAATTTATATAAACTATAAATTATTAGTTTTCAATTTTTTCACACATTACGCTAATAAAATGATCATATTAAACAAATTTTCCTACTAAACTTAAAAAATCGTGATGTAAACCCAGCCCAAGGTTTAAAGCTTCTCTTGCATTTAAAGGGATTTTATTTTATTAAGAGGTATTCAAATCTAACAAAATTATTACAGAATATCTCTATCAACTACAATATATGTGTTTGAGCTAATCTCTAATGTAAAAACGGTTGCTATACAAGCAAATACATGACAAGGTGATTTTAATATATGACAAAGCTCGGCCACATATTGCAAAACTGGCAAAAACCTATCAGGAAACACTTTAATTAATGGGAAGTCCTGTCCCACCCACCATATTCACAAGACCTTCCGATTATCACTAATTTCATTCGATGGCATGTAGCCTGGCTGAGGAGCACCTCTATTCTTATGAAAATATCAAATGTATGGATAGATTCTTAACAGACAAGTCGTTTTACCGATATGGAATTAGCATACTGCCAGAAAGATGAGAACATGTAGTCACTAGTGATGGGCAATAATTTGAGTGACATGTTTTTAATCAATTACTTTAACTAAAGCATCAATTTTTACAAGAAAACAACAAAAACTTATTTAAGGTCCAAATATATATATTATGAATAAATTTCATCACAAAAAGAATATTATCTGTATATTAACAGGAGTCAATTATCTGGACCTAAACCCAAAAGAAAACATAAGGTCGAACCTCAAGATAACCAAAAATGAGGTGCAGCGTAAAACCTCAATAGCAGTAGGATGCCATTCTGGTAAAAATGGGACAATACTTTCTAAAACACTACCACTGAGGTCAGGATGAAAGTCCAACTCACTAATAAACATGCATTCACATTCATTTATGCCTTACAACTTAGATTTGTCAAAAATAAAATAATTTATTATTACTTTTAAGTTTTTTGTCTGTTAATTTTTAAGTTTTACTTATAACTTGTATAAGTTTATTGTCTCTCTCCCTCGAATGTTAACCTTGCAAAGAGCACCTACATTTTCTGAACAATTTCCGTTATTAAATCCACAAATTTTAATTATTTTAAGTGATAGTATTTTCATAAGAAACATTAATAGTGGGTCACTTCTACTAATATACCTATATAAAACTTTTATTACCTTTCGTAACTAAGATTTCTTATCAGGGCTCGATTACTTAGCAGATCCTCGCAGTTAGTCTGAAATAAATTATGTCATTTTTAATACATGAAATTAAAACAAAAAACAATTAATTAATTCTTATAATATATACAAAATAACAATATTATACGGTTAAACATATGTTCAAATATGGGTCTCTTTTAAGAAGACGTAATTACTATTTTGTACGAGTTGGAATAAAGCTGAGTAGGGATATGAAATGTTTTGAATTTAATCTTAATAACATAGATAAATTAAAACAAAAAACATGAAAATATTATAATAAATGGACAAGCACTTGCATGAACATCATTTTAGTTAACAATTTGTGAGTTAAGTAACTAAAAAGTTAAAATACAATTACTTAAAACATGCTTTTGATAATTGATAAAAAAAGGCTACAAAAATATTCTATAAAGCAATTAAAAATTTTAACCAATAACTGAAAATTTCTCAGCAATATTTAATTACAAGATCAAAATTTTCATTTTGACACATGACACAAAAATGGTTTACTACCATAAAATAATAAAAATCAATTAATTAATCATTATATATTAAATTTTTACCTTTCTCACCTATCTCAAATGAGTAACATATGATATAATTTACATTAAGTAATTTGGAAGTCAAAAAGTAGTATTCATACCCAACAGATATTTTTAAAAAACTGATAGTCTAATCTAAATAAGTGAATGTTTGATTAAGACAAACACATTCTAGAAGATAAGTAATAACGAAATAATCATAACTCAAACTTTATTTGAACAAGTTACGATTATTCACAGAATTTACTTGTAAAATAACTAACCATTATGTCAACAGCTCATAAGACTTGGTGAAACCCAGATGCTGAAAAAATAGCTTTTAAATTGGATATTTAAAGCAAAACCATAGTTAACACTTATTTTTCAAAATTAACTAATCTCTGAAATGATTAGTTAATTGAATTTTGTTGATTTTTTTACATTCCATTAACAATACACAATGAATGTATGAAGGGCATTTTTCATCGGAATCTTTTCAGATGTCATGGTGAAAAATTAATTTTCGTTTAATGTGATATCAAATACTGATATTCAGTATTCAACAGACCAATCTACAGAAAATCAAATAATTTACGTACCTCCAAGAAAGTTTAACATATTAAATTTTGGAAACAAAACAGCATTGTTTACCATAAAATAACTAAATGTTGTGAATTAGAAAATTTGTGGAAACACCAAAGATAATATTTTAGAATTCATTAAGCTTCTAAAAATTAAAATATATTACACAAAGTCAATTTATATTGTATCTAGAACCTGAATAGCCATATTGTAAACAGAACCTGAAAAAAATATATAATAAAAATAGAAGGTTCATATTCAGTACGACAAAGCGTATTATAGTTATTTTTAAGTTTGTAACACACCATAAAAATAAGGAATCATAATTGGTAATTGGTTTACTGTCTTGGATAATGAAGAGAAGAATAGTTGGGGTGGTCAGTCAAAAAGGAAAATTCCTTTTTGACTGACCACCCCAACTATTCTTCTCTTCGTAAAAATTAAGGAGGGATTCTTTTTGCAGCATAATTTTACACTAAAAATTTAAAATGTAAATGATAGGAAAATGATTATTAACATAATTTTTATATTAGTACTTTATCAATAATGATTTCATTTCTTTTTCAAGGTATTAAATGTAGTAAAATCATAACATCAATAAACTACAAGTATTAGAATTGCATTGATTTAGAAACACATCTTCAATATTTTAAGCAACTTTTATTGAAACTTTACCAATAGTCACAAAAACATTAAATCTTCAAAAAATAATTATTGGAGAAAATATTATTCTTTTAATTTGTAGTAATAAGAGTACAAGGCCCAATTTGCATAACTCATGAGTTAAACCAACGTAAGTTTCAAAATTAGAGTAAACATTTATTTCAGTAAAACAGAAAAACAATTGAACAAAACTACCTGATTGTTAATCTATTCAATGTTTGGGAAAAACAGTTATTAAAAATAAACAAGAATGAACATAAGGTTGTTTATTCCTAAAAACGAAACTATATTAACAAAAGCAAAACAAATATTTTCACCAGATTAATTTGATTTCGTCAAAACAAGACAATATAAAAATATATTAAATTTAAACTGTCTAATTATACATACATAATTGAAAAAGTCCGTACTACTAGTTTTTTTCTTGCTTTTCTTTTTTTTCCTTTTCATCATATTCTTCATACCTACGGCATATCCATAAAAACTTATATTTTGAACTTGATAACATATAGATAAAAACAGTCGAGATACAAATGAATAACTCTTTGAATCGATAGATTATGATTAATCGATATTCGTACTAATCAGTTAAATGGACAACTAAGATTTAAAATAAACATGAAAACATACAATATATATTTTAAAACTGTAATATTTGCTGTTTCTTTTGTCAAATATACCTTTTGATTGAAGATGTATCTGGAATAAAGAAAAACGGATGAAATTATAATGAATATTGACAATTATTACCTACCTAATCTTCTTTCCAGCAAGTAAGGCGGTTTATTTTTGTAAATTTCGGCTGCTTTCTACCAATTTATTCTCATATAAGATACCTAAATGTGGTGTTCAATAAATTTTATTTTACACCTTAAAGGTCGGTAGAACAGGGTATAATCAGTCTGTTAACATGGTGTGGTAAAAACAGTACTTCAAATTTGGCGGTCCATTGTGATCTGAACTTTAAAGGATATTAGTTAATTATTTCTATTAGGTTGTTATTTCATGTTTTTTTTTAAACCAAGATCAGTGGGTGGTCGATTTCACGAACTTTCCTGGGAGTATGGTAGAAATTTCTACTCATAGAAGATTTTCGCATATAGAAACAATTATTTGCTGATACCTAGTTACCTAATAGTCCAAGGTCAATAAAACTAACAAGTTCGCTCACTCAGAGGGAAAAAGGTGGGGTGGAATCGAGCTTTGACGTAACCACTAGACCTTTAATCACAGATTACACAGTACCAAACAATAAACCGGATATTTTGGGTGCTATGTATATAAGAATAAAATGGCTGAAATAATTGAGATTTGAGTGCCCAGCTATTAATATATTCAAAAAGTGGTAGGAGAGAAGATAAGAAAATATCAAAGCCGCTGTGAGGAAATGAAACAACTATATAGCCTAAAAAAAGGTAAGGTGTTGCCTTTCATCATTTCGAGCAAGGGATTGGTCCCAGAGGAAGTGACAAAGACTTGAAAAATGTTAGGACTCCCACGTGCTGCCTATCTTTTAAAAAAGAGAACCAAATGATCACTGTCATTGCCTCTGGCGGTCCAACACATACTTAGACCAATAACATAGCGGTCATCCACAAACGATCTTTTTAAAGATTATAACTTGGAATGCGGGTGGTTTAACTAATGATAAATTCAATGAGTTCAAAAAAATAATTGCAAATGAAGAAGCAGATGTTTACGGGATATTCGAAGATAGGGACAGCTTCAGAATTGTTGGACCAGATGAAGTCACTTCCTGGTAACCAGATGTAGTCACTACCAAGACGTAGAGTCAATTCAAAAGGAATTATAATCGCAGCGAAGCAGTTACTTAAAGTTTATTTTAAAGTAAAAAAGTTATGATCTATGTGGATATGATGGAAGTCGCGGATTTCAAAATATTGAAGAATGGCTAGCACCGGCGCACACTTATTGCGTACAATCCACCAAGAATTTAGCCCAACCTTCACTGGCTTGATATAACCTGGTATTCAAGATGTGTTCTCTGTATCAACTTCAATGCACCCTCAACACTATGGGGTTATACCACCACAAATAGAATCGGAACTAATAGTGAAAGAGTTCATTGACTCTAACTCAGTGGCCTACATTGAAAATGACACATCTGCTCCCACCTTTCTATCATATTCAGGCAATAGTTCTCATCCTGACCTAGTCCTTGCACACATTTCATTAAAACCCACTTTAAAAAAATTAACTTTTATCTGCGCCATTCTATTTACAGTATTGCAGCAATCAAATTCACTGAAAAGTTTAAAGAAATAATACAAAGAAGTAAATTGAGGTGGTACCTGAGGAAAGCCAACTGGGATGCTTAATCCAAACTAACTGATGAGCTGCTCACTCCAGGACTCATCGCGGGAAAGCATGACTCCTCTCTTAACAAGATTACAAAGGTACTCTTCAAGTATGATAGAAAAACAGCACCAAGAGGAAGAGTGAAAAGGTACGTTCCATTTTGGAATAAGAAGCTATAACAAAAAACTAAAGGTCGAGCAAGATAAAGCAAGATTAATAGCACAAAGTGGAGTAGCTCAAGATATTTTGGACTTGAAACATAAGAGTGCATTATTAAAATGAAATATAATAGTTGCTAACAAAACTTCATACAAGCCGTTCCTCCAAAATCTAGACTACCGAAAAGATGGAACAGATGCGCATAAATTCTTATTCCGACTAAATAATGAAGACAATACATTCAATAATCCTATGAAATATGGAAATAAGCTTTTTACCACTGATTAACCAATGGCAGATCATTTCAATAAACACTATATGAATATTAGAAATTTCACAATCAACAACAATAATAAAACTCCTACTATTCATTTCCCTCAAACATGCTTAAATCAAGAAGAAACTACCCTATTTAACAGTGAATTTAGTTTGGCAGAAATGGAAGTAGCACTAAAAGAAATAAAACGTGAAAACAGCGCTGGACCTGCATGAAACAGATAATGTACTGCCTGCATTCCTCACCCATGTCGACAGCTCTGCAAAGCAGGTGGTAATTCGATTCCTAAACGAGTTATGGTCATCTTATGTGACTTGTGAATGGAGAAATTCCGATGTTATCCTCATCATAAAGAAAGGAAAATCTACTGATTGTGTGGAAAATTACAGACCTATATCATTCACTAGTGTATTTTGCAAGTTACTTGAAACATGGCACAAAATCACATAGAAAAGCATAGGTTCATCTTACACAAACAAACAGGATTTAGACGATATCGAAGCACCATAGAACATATAATACAGGTCCCAAAGGACATTAAAGATGGATATCACCGCAAAAAAATTTCACTCGCACTATTTGTAGACTTCTAAACTGCATTTGAAAGGGTTTGGAGAAAGAAACGTTTTGAAAAGCTGTTAAAAAAAGTGTACAAGGTAATTTGTTTAAATATATTGGATCTTTGTTTGGCCAAAGATTTACTCCTGTCAGCTATAGACAAGGAATATCCAGATAAAGGCAGACAAAATAGGACCTCCCGCAAGGCTCGGTCCTTAGCCCAACTCTGTTCTGGTCTGAGCAAAAGGGCTTTTCTCAATTGTCAAATATAAAATCGTTAAAAAAAAAATTGAATGGTATAAGTCAATTATGAAAATGAAGAAATATTAATCAAACATAGATAAAACTTTAATTCAAGTTAAAAATACTATTCTCTCGACTGTTACTAATATTTCTTTTCTGTGGATATTAAGAGTCAACAAAACATCTCACATTATTGTTTTCATATTCTAAAATATGATTTATTTATAGTTATATAGGTATATCGGTATAGGTGTATAAATTATTTCACAATCTAATTCTCCGAGTATGGAATGATGAGGAGCTGCCAGAGGAGTGGAAGAAGGGTACAACAATATGTGCAATTCACAAGAAAGGGGACCGCACAATATGTTCAAATTATCGCGGGATTTCCCTCCTCCCTAGTGCGTACAAACAGGACTTTGTAGTCCTGTCTGTTATCTTACACGATAGATTATCCCCTTATGCTGAGCGAATGGTTGGGGAGTATCGGGCAGGTTTTAGAAAAGGAAGGTCCACTATTGACCACGTGTTCGCTTTGAGGATGATAATGGAAAAAGGAATCGAGTACCGATTGCCAACCCACCATTTATTCCTGGATTTCAAGAATGATTGATAGCATCAACCGATAAAGTCTATATGAAGCTCTGGTTGACATAGGGATCCATCAAAAGCTGACCAGACTGGTAAGGATGACCATGGAAGGAATCTGCAGTACAGTCAAAGTTCAGGGAGATCACCCTAGGGAGTTTTGGACGGGGAAAGGTCTACGCCAAGGAGATGGATTGGCATGCCTGCTGTTTATACTGGCCCTGGAGAATGCAGTTCGAAATTCAGGAATAAAGACCTCGAGAACCGTTGTTCATCGAAGCGTACAGCTATTGCCCTTCGCGAACGATGTGGACATTGTGGGGCGAGTTCAAGGAAAGCTATGGAGGAGGCCTTTCTTGCTCTTCAGTCAGCAGCGCTGAATATTGGACTTGAAATCAACGAGACCATGACCAAATATATGTTGGTTAACGGTGAGAATAACCTAATAAATGCCTCAGCTCTCACACTAGGAAATTTCTCCTTTGAAAGGGTCCCAAATTTTGTGTATCTGGGAACGCTTGTTACCTCTTCAAACAACGTGCCCCTCGAAATCAGCCGATGGATCACCTTAGCCAAACGATGCTATTTTTGGCTTACAAGGCCGTATGAAGGATGAAGAGCCGTCTGCTCACCAAAGAAACCAAGGTACAGCTGTACAAGACTATAATAAAAACGGTTCTTACTTATGCTTCACAAACCCGGACACTAACTAAGGCAGATGAGAAAGGTTTCCTATTTTTTGAAAGAAAAATATTGAGAAGGAGGAGGAACCATGAACTATACAGCTTGTACGGAGACATTGATGTAGTACAGTTCACCAAGGTGGGAAGGGCACGTGGCACGCATGACGGAAGAGAGAATACCCAGACAAGTTATGGAGGGATGCTGGACCGAACAAGGAGAAGAGGAAGACCCAGGTTGAGATGGGTCGACGGTGTGGCCGCAGACACGAGGACGATAATTTACTCGAAGGGGCGGCGAGAAACCGAACTGGATGGCTGAAGCTCGTGAAGGAGGCCAAGACCCACTCCGGATTGTAGAAGCCATCGAAGAAAGTAAGTAAGTATGTATATCGGCGCCTTATCACAAATATACTAAGTGAATTTTTGATATATGTTGACGTTTAAATATGCTTTTTGTGAATTTCGATTTTATTTAACGATATAAAATCACTGTAAATGCATGGAATTGACAAAAATCCTTTTATATATCGAATACAGTTACAACAAGCGCAAAATTTTCTGATTTCATAAGGGATTAATTATTAAATTTAATGAAATATCTTTTTGCTATAAACCTACAGCATATTAATTAATTAATGGACAAGAAAACTTCTTGTTAGTAAATATAATATACAACATATTAATATATTCATAAATTAAGTAAGGGAATGGATAAGAAGATTTTTGTCACTGTTACTGCCACTGGACCGGTAAGGTTAAAGGGAGTGGAACAGGTTTTCACTGCTCCAAACCGATTCTCTGTGATACGGCCCTGCTCCTCCAGTACCGTCACAATCGTAGATGTAAAGGGGACCCTTGCTCAAAAATATCGATATTATTCCAACATCCCTACCCTGTCTTGCTTTCCTACGACAGTACATTCTTGACATAGGCGCTGGCTGGATGCACCGGGAGAAGACTTAAGGTTAGTGGTAATAGTAGTGTAAGATAGTGAATGAAGTACTGATGGTGGTGCGCTGCGGATTTCCGAACATCCGGAAATCAAAGGTTCATTCACGAGAAGTGGAGGGGGGACTGAGGTAAAAGTAGTGGGGGGACTACTACTGGATAGGTTAGGTTACCTAGGCCTCACAACCATTATAAATTTCTGATTTTCATTATATGTAAATAGTTAAATAATTTTTCATATCCCTTGTTTATAATTTTAAACCATCTTTAACTATTTCTTTTAAATAGTCAAGTGGGCAACAAATTAAAAAAAAAATGAGGAAACTTCACAATTTACTTTAGGAAAAAAAAAACTAACGTTGTGTATATTTATCAGTTCTTTTTCCATTTTCCTCAACAAATTTATTATTTTCGCAATACCTTTCCTTAATTTTTGTAAGTAATAGACTTATATTCGACTAACTTTTGTCAAAACGATTTTCTATGAGACTAACCTTCTATAAGACTACTACTAGATAGGTTAGTTTACCTAGGTCTCGTTATTAAGTAAATAGTTGTTTATATCTCTAGTCTATATTATTATTAACCATTTTCAACTATTTTTTCTTTAAATAGTCAAGTAGGCAAGAGAAAAAAAGTGGAAACTTCACAATTTACTTATAGAAAAAAAATCTTTAACTGTTGTGTTTATTTGCCATTAATTTTTCCATTTTTGTTAACAAATTGATTATTTTTGCCATACTTTTCCTAGATTTTTGTATGTAGTTGACTTATATTTTTCTAACTTTGGTCTAAACGATTTTCAGGCACTAGGAAGTAATTATTATATCTCCGTTTTTCTCTTGATGGCCAATATTATAAATAAAAATGTCCAAATAAGCATATCTATACTGTTTCTTTGTTTACAACTGATACATATACATATACATATACATAGTAGGTAAAAAACATCTTCATTTAAACCAGCGTTTTGTAAACGTAAATTGATGCTTATAAAACAACTATCGCATGTATATTATGTTAAATGTGTCTTAAATAAGTAATTACAGGCGGAATAATATATGAATATGTTTTTATAATAAATATCTTTATACATTATTCCGCCTCTTCGAGAGACTGAGTTCTTGAAGTCTTTTCTTATAGTTTCTTTAATTGAAGGACTCATCTCCTTACAGTAGCGGATCCAGGATTTAATTTTGGGGGAGGGGCTTCAGCCCGAAGGATTTTTTTTTCATATATCTATCTAACGATAATTAATTTGAAAAAAAAGAAACTAACTACCCATATGACATGGTGTCTTAGTGATTCTTGAAGTCCTATTAAATGTAATTACATGAACAATAACACTTTAAGAGATAGTTTTTAATATTTTTTTCTATAAAATATGGTTATATTTTACCATTTGGAGGGGGGGGGGCTTCAGCCCGAAAGGCTCCCCCGTAAATCCGCCTGTGTCTCCTTATCTTAGACATATTTCTTATTGGATTGTTATAAAATACGATAATACAGAGAGGCTGTTGGGTGCTCCGGTCCACCCCTGAGTCTTTCAATTAAAGAAACTATATTATAAGACTTAAAGAATCCAGTCTCTGGGAAGGCTTTGATGATCTGGGGTTTTTTCACCTATAAACAACAACAAACAAACAAACTCAGTCCCTCGAAGAGTCAGAAGATTATAAAAAGATATGTATATAATAAATATACATTTTAAGTAGAATACAGCGGAAAAAGATGGCAGACCAAACAAGGGAGATTTAAAATTATAATAATGGAAATTCAACTAAATAAGTTCAAAAACTGTTGCTCCCTAAAAAACTAAACAAATCTAGGGGAGAAATCAACCCTCACGTGTCTGGCCTCTTCAAGACATTTCACGTCTTTTTTTATTGATTCTTTAGAGAAATTTTCTGATATTTTAGACGTATTTATCTGAATATTACCGTGTGTGTTGCAACTTGAACCTCGCTGTGATTTCGAAACAGCCTTATCATTTAAAAAGGGTTTCGGCTGTGTTAGTAGTTTATTTCATGTAGTGGACCAATAGGTTAAAGATGTTTAGTTTAAAGTATGACGAGGTATTTGTACATACCGGCAATATTCTTAAAATGGGTGATATTAAGCTTAAAACTGGTAGTAAATCATCTGACGAGGTGCGGTATATTTAAAATTAGGCTGACACCTTCTCTTAAAAGTATTGATTTATAGGGATTAAATATTTACTTATTTTTGTTACTTTTTTCAGCTTTTAGTTGCTCTGAAAGGTACACTTGAAAAGGGTACATATGAAGAATCTGAAAAACTTCTTAAAATTACTAACTTGGATATACTATATGAGGCTGATCCTAAAGAACTTGTGACTAGTGTCAAGGTGTTCTTAAAAACCCCTTCCAAAGAAGCTTTAAGGAATGCTGTTGAGCAAGGTTAAATATTACATTTTGATAGCTTAAATTTATAGAGAATATCACTACTTCTTTTAATATTTATTTTTTCAAGGTCACATGCCGTTTTGTTTTAAACATTTTTTATATCTAAGTAAATTTTTTTATAAAGCCTATTTTGTATCTTGATTCCAAATGTTTGAAGGTCATTTAAATATACTCGGATATGTTTTATATTATTTGGATTAATTGTTATTGCTCATATTCAGACATAATTTTTAAAAATGTTAAAACCCTAAGTAAATGTTTCCTGGAACTACATAAATTTTTCTGTCGGATATTTAAATAATGGGTACCTGAAATGTTCTTTTTAAGCTATAATGATATTTGTCCTTAGACAGTAAAGTTCTTTATGCCACTTGCATTGCTTCCGAAGATTAAATTATTATTTTTGTAATGTTTTGAAGGTTTTATTTATTTTATGTTATTACCCATTGGTAAATATATCTTACTAGTTAAAAATGGCCAAGTCTGTGGTTCCTGTATGTTTATATGTTTCTATTAGGCATTGTATTGACAAATATTTGATAGGAAATTGTCTACTTTTGATATTAATCGTTTCCCTAAAATTTTGAATAAGTGATCATTAAATTCATCAATAGAAGTCCTGTTAGGATATTTGTTTAATATTTAAAAGTAATAAAACAATATATCTTATACATTTCTGTGAAATGAATTTAATTTGATGTATTATCGCCAACACGTAGTCAACATAATTATATTTGAAATTATGATAATGTTTTTTTTTTCTTATAAAAATAATTTTGAAACCAATGATATTGATGAGTTCCTTGGATCAAAGTGATTGTAGTATTAATTTTCTTTATTGGTTAAGCTTCCAATGCTGGATTCTGCTGAGCTAGTTTAAATATTGTATTTGATAGTTCTAATTAATAGAGAATTTCACAATTAGTCATAATATCATATCATATTATTTCAAGGTCGGTAGCCAATCTGCCTTACTATACCTCCCCCTCCCTCCCCCCCCCAAGGAATCTTGTAAGGTTAATTTTGTTTTATTATCCCAAAATGTTAAAAGGTTTATTCAAATTTGAAAAAAAACATGTATTTTTAAACAATTCTTACTGCACAGATTCAGACATATTTTTATTAAATATTGATTTTTATATTTGATAACATATACAGTCTAAGTTAACTAACTGATTTCCTGTAATTATTTATATTAAGTTGTTGCTTGAATGTTGTACGACCGAAGTGAACTTTTTTAAACTATCTACATTCTAGTACTTTGATTTTAAACTGTTCTGTTACATATGAAGATTAAAGGAATCATCTACTGTTGAAAATTGTTTTCCTAAAATATTGAATAATGAATCCTTAAGCTTACCAATAGATAGATGTTGAGGACATATCCAATCAATAAAAATCAAAATTTTTTTATCCCTGGTTTTATTTTATGGTAAATGAATTAAAATGAACATTATATCTCTAATGGTCAACAAAATTTTCTTAAAAATTATATTAATTAAAAAGTTAATGTTCTATGTTTAAAAAAGTGGAATTTATGACAAAAGAACTTTATGAGTTTCATAAATATAGGTTTTTAGTGAAGATACTATAAGTTTTCTTCATTAGGTAAGGTGCTAATGATGAGTGATAAGAATTTCACAATTAGTTTTAACATTATAAAGGTTGTAATCCCATTTCTTTTATCTATTTTTTATTCCAAGTATTGAGTAACTTTAAATACTTTATTGTGAGGGTTTCTATTAATAGAGAATTTCAGAATTAGTCTTAATATCATTATTTCAAGGTCATTAGCTGGTTTGTCTTATCTCCTTTTTATTCTTAAGTACGTTTTTTTTTTCTTTGCATCTTGATCACAAAACATTTGCAGTTGTACTGATTGTGTTAGAAATTACTATGAAAACTTTACAAAATTGATCAATTTTTTGAACCAGCATATTGCACAAAGTTAAATTAAACCTCAATAAAGCCAACCCTCCCAGCTAAATTTAAACTTCATCATCGTTTTGTTTTCCTCTCGTTCTTCTCCTATGCACCCGAGTCTTGTAAGTCTTTCTTGTGACATTGCTCCTATCCATACTGAGAAGATGCCCCAACCATCTTAACTTATATTCTTCTATAATGGCTTTGACATCGAGATTGGCTAGGGTAGTTAAATTTAGCCTTAATAACTACAACTTCATGTTATTGCAAAAATCATAAAAAGAAAAATGAAAAGGATTGGTATATATGAAAGTTAATGTATCTAATTTAAATCTAAACACAATGTCTACAAGTATTTAAATTAATAGATGACCCCTTAATAAGTAATGTATCCATAGGAATAAATAACTAAACCAATAGTTATTATCTATGTTTGGAAAAAAAAAGTTCAATAGGATAGTTCTCCTTTTTCTGAAAATATAGGCTACCAGAATATAGAGCATATCCTTCAGACATGCCTGAGGTGGAGGACATCAGAAAGCTAATTTGGCCAAACCCCACTGACTTGGCGATGAAGCTTTACGGTGGTCTGGAGGATCTCAGGAAGACCGTTGAGTTTATACTCTCAATCCAGACCTCACCATTTGAGGGGAATTTGTTTAAGGAGGTCGGTTTTTGTATCGTATAGAGCCCTGAATTTCTGATGATTTTTGTGTGAATCAGTGAAGCCATACTAAAGTTATCACAATCTTTGTGGTTGTCGACAGAATTTTGAAGGGTCCAAAGCCTAGGCAAATATTTTGTGCAGAAAACCTAAATTTTTCGATTCTTCTAAAAATTCATATTTATGGATTTTTGGAGACGTGTAAAATGGATATTAACATGGTTTCTTCACAAAAAATATTTACTCCCACATTGCTACGTCGGTTGGTCCAAATTGTCCCCATATTGTAGCTATCTTCCAATTATAATATTTATTCAAAACCGGTCTGGAATCTAGAGTAAATTGTTGATATTTGGTTTTAAAAAAGTTGATATTTCTTTGCGCTCCTTTAATATGACTTTTTACAGCAATAAAAAAATTAAAATTTTCTGCACAAAATTTTGACCTAGGCTTTCAAAACGGTCCCTTCGAAAATTTGCCGACAACCACAAAGTAGTGATAATTATAGAAGAAATTAAATCTTATGAAAAGTTCTTGATGTGTGTTAGAAGAGCAGTAATTCAGTTTTCCAATGGTTGTACTAACAACTGAATGGGAAATTAAAATGCTTTAGTTATCGGTTGGAAAAAAAATCTTCCAAGAAAATCAAGTATTAAAAAGTGCAATTTTTGATTTATATGAAAATTTGTATTAAAGAGTTTCAAAGGATACTAAAAATGAATCTAACTTGCTTTTACACAACATAAATTTACTTCACTAGAAAAGCCTATTGGTTTTTGTAATTTATGATGACCACTCAATTGATACAATAGTCAATATTTTTTCCGGCTTTTAGAGCCCATTGAAACGAATGCCTGAATATTTTTCTAATATTTTTCGATGTAGTATTACCAAAAACAAATTGGTTGAAATAGGTGACCCACTGACTGTAGCCTCCCCTTGTTAGAGAGGAAAACGAGATCTATTTTCAATCTTGATCGCTTGGGTATCAATATACATTTGTGGGACAGTCATTAAAAAAACATTCTTTCAATTGAATATTGAACTCATACTGCTGCGAACTGATCACTGTGGCATCGATTATTATCATAAACTAGTAGGCCCGTGCAAAAAATTCGCACAGCATATCGTCATCAAATGCCAAATTACTAATAAAATAAAATAATGCAAGGTATCAAAAGATAAAGAAATCAAATGCTACTTTATCGATACATATAATCGACAAAGAAAACAAAAATTAATTTAAATCTTCATTTTTGTTTGGAACCAATATGTTCACAAATTTCAGTAAGCTGTATCTTTGTTAAAAATAGTCCAATTTCGATGATTTTAATTTTTTCATTTTGTAATCTTTTATATAATCATGGGCATAACCAAGAGAAAAGTGTGTAATTTTTTAGTTATTCGCAAATAAAGTTTGTTTTCTTTCATTACTTGTTTGCCTGAATTTTTGGGGTGATTGGACTATTTTACCCGGCTGAAGGAGAAGGAAACCTTCGAAATTGGTGGCTCAATCTTGAGATTTGGTGAAAAATTAACGATGATATGGCATGCTGATCAAAAACACCATCGATAAATAATATAAACTCCTCCTCTCTCGATCATAGAGACCTCAAGCCAACCAAATGAGACATGTATTTAATGACAGTACCACAATTAATGTAAGGCTGTATGGATGCGAACCCTATGCCTTGCGTTATCTCGAAAATAGTACGTTTTTGGACATAAAAATGCAGGATCCGATAGTTCCAGAGGAACTATCCGGGTCTTGCTGTACGCATCAAAATCCAATTTGTCCCGTATCGATCTACAGACCTACCAGTATTGAAGCCTAGCAAAATGTTTGTATCGACTTTATTTATTTTAGAAAGAAAAACAAAAGTGGAGAATACGATTCGCTAACCCCCCCATGAAATTCTGAATCCAACGGTACCCCATTCATGGTATTTGAGCATGACAGGAGCTTATATTTGGTACAAAACCGATTTCAAGCCTTACTGTAATAATATATGTGTGGATAACTATTAAAATTGTGATGCATACAAAAATCTTGATTACTATTTGCGATAATTAATTTATCTATTACATTTTTAATTCATCCATTTATCTATTACATTTTTAATCGTAACAATAAATCAGTGCAGATTTCTTGAATAATTTGATAATGAATTAATATTCAACATCAATCAAAATCTATGGTATATTTTCTATCAGTGAACCAAAAAAACTAACAACTTAAAAGTTTTGCTGTTACTACATTTAAAACAAATACATAAAAGGAAAGTTTCTTAACAAATACCATTAAAGTTAGAGTTATTTCATTTGATCTATTACGCCATATCCAGTCAATATATGTATTTGCCTATATTATCCATCATGTTTTCTAAATTTATGATTGACTAAAACTTGTTAATTTTGATCATATGTGCCAATATTCTTTAATCTTATTTCAGTTTTATTATTTTAGTGCTAAAAACTTTAGAAAATTTGACTATAGATTCTCTCATAATCTGGTACCCGGAAACAATGATAGAAGAACCTTCTACGAAACTTTTGGATATATGGACTGTATTAGAAGAATATGTTCATGAAGGTAGAGTTAAAAATTTGGGAATTGCTGATTTAGATACAAAAGTTTTTGTATCACTTTATAACAAAGTGAAGGTATTTTAGTAATTATATTTATAACAATTTAAATAAACCTCTTTTGTTTATTTATTTTTGAGTATTGTTTTCAGGAAAAGCCATCTATTTTCCATTTGACTGTTCAAAATTGCTGTGTAGTTCCTGTAGATCTTCAGGAATTTTCACGAGAACATGAAATTCAATTGTTGACTCACAATGATCCTCCAGGTATATTTTATTTATGCAACTGCATTTATCATAGTGGTTACAGACTGTCACTATCATTATTATTAAAGTTGCTTGATAGTGGATAATTGTTGACTATTGAAGATGTATTGAAGAGAAGTTGGTTGTGGTTTTCGGTCAATGAAAATACAAAGTGAAAATTAATAATTAGAAATAATAATAAATATAATTGATTTATTTTTACTTTGCATTTTCATTGACTAAAAACCCCAACCAACTTCTCTTCAATAATAAGTTGCTGTTTTAAAGGAAAACTAAACTAGAATGTTCATAAAAAAAAAAAAAAGATCAAGAACTTACTGTTGTGTTAATGAGTTTTAGCTCTTTTAACTGCATTAACGATAAATAACTAACCCTGAGTTAAATGAGGAGAAAAAATTAAACATGATGACATGTTTATTTTATCCTCCTAAAATTTTCTCTTAATAAATGAAATTAAAAAACTTTAATTGTCATGCTTAATGTAAGCATAATTATAGTGTTGAATTGATAAATTATCTTTATTCTGGAAACAAATCCTATCAAAATTAAAACTATGTACATCTCTAAAGTGGGTCTTCATTTTATGAGCACTAATATTGGGTTGAATGGAAAAATATTTTAAGCAGGATTTTGAGTTTTATTTAAAATACCCCTCCATATAGCACACTGTTTAAATTTACTGGATTATTCATTTGTATAAATGTGAACACTTATTAATCCTCTTCTAAACGATGTTTTTTACCTCTGTAACATTTCACTGCTTAGAAATAATTCAGTCTTTACTAAGATGTCAATGCGGGATTTTCATATAATTTTGTTTTACGAGTTTAAACTCGGCTGGAATGGGGCCCAGACATTCACTAAAATCACTCAAGTCTGTGGCGAGAGCAGCAGTAATGAGTGCACTGATCAACGCTGGTTCCAAAAATTTCGGGGGGAGACTTCAGCCCTGAAGACAACTTGGAGGGAAACTTAACCTTAGTAAATCGACCGTTGATTACCACCTCAAGGCTATTGGAAAGGTAAAAATCAGGTGTGCGCATCACACGACTTTCATTTACCACCCTCTTCTTAGCAGAAATAAGTATTTTCAGACAAAGGCGAATTGAAAGTAAAAATTAAAGACGTTACATTTATTTACATTTCATTGTGGGTATTTTTTAATTGTTTGAATATAGACAAATTTTAATTTTTATATTGCTGTATTCTATACAATTAAATATTAAATAATACCAACTATAGCATTAATGAAAACCGCATATGTATATGTGTATATAATATGGTCGGAGTTTGTATTATATTAAGCTCATGTTACGTATGGAAGCCTGTAGTACTCTTTCAGGCGAGCTTGTATTCCTTTGCTTCTTCCATTATAATTATTATCCCTTACGATCTCTTATATCTCCTTTAGTTAATTATCAAATTCTTTTATGTTTTATATTTAACTAGTTTTTGTATCAAAGAGTAATGTGAAATGATTAATTATTTCAAATAAAAGAAATTAAAGGTACTTTCGAGGAAGCTAATATTGAAAATTAGTCATCTAAGCCCTGTTAGAGAACATCAATGAGAATAAAACCTGCATTATATTGAAAACTACTTAATAATACACTGACATACTGAGTTTAATCGAAATTGTTAAGAGCCATTTTTGAGAAAATTGCAAAAATGTGTTAAATCGATTTTATAAAGTATCACTTCCGGTTTGCTGATTTTGACGAAAATGTTGCTGTAACATCCAAGGATTATAAAAATCTGAAATTCGCAATTTCAGTTTCATATGGCTTTTTGTTTTTGAGCTTGGCTGTTTACATACATACGTACAGACCATTTTGCGGGACTTGATTATTTGGATTTAGGGCACCTCAAAACGTGTATTTCCGTTAAAAACTCAGAATCGAAAAGTTTCACGATCGCGATACTTAACTTTACTATATATTACATATATAGATAAGTAAAAGTAAAAAAAGCTTCAAAGTAGGGTTCCACACACATTAAACGACCTTAAATACAACACATTAACTAAAAAAAAGTATTATGAATCTTGTTCTACACTCCTTTGCCGAAACAAAAATGACCCTTTTCTGTCCAGAATTGTTACTTGTAATGAAAAGTGGATACTTTACGATAAAAGAAGACGATCTGGACAGTGGCTCGACAAAGGAGAAAATTTTCCAAAGCCCCCAACTCATCAAAAAAAAGGTGATGGTTACTGTTTGGTTGGCTTTATTTGGTTTAATACACTACAGCTTCTTAAATCCTGGTGAAACCATCAGTGCTGAATCCTATTGTAACCAAATTAATGCAATTCATCAGAAATTGGCAATAATGAAGACATCTTTGGTCAATTGGAAGGGACCCATTTTGTTGCATGACAACGTCCGTCCACAAAAACTGTTGGTGCTTGGATATTAAACTCTACCACATTCACACTACTCTCCGGACCTTTCGCCTACAGATTATCATTTATTTTGACACCTGAACCACTACTTACGTGACAAAAAATTTAATGGCCAAAGGACATTAGAAAATGCGTTTTTTGATTTTATCAATTCTAAAGATGGGAAATTCTATTCCAAGGGAATGGGGAAAACTTGTCAACGCATTGGCAGAAATGTATTGATAGTAGTGGATACTATTTTGATTTAATAAAACAGGTTAAATCTTTAGTTTTTCTTTTTAAACCAAAATCCTGCAATTTTTTCTGGACAACCCAATGACATACCTACTATTTATCCTTTATTTTTCTTTTCTTAGTTTTCACAACAATAATGCTACTTTTTCTTATAATGCTCGAAATTGAAAAAAAATTGGTAACCATGTCAAATCTGATATTTATTGTTGCTATTTTATTTTAAGTATTCAAAAACCTGTCAGTTAATTGATGTAGAATGACTTTGTACATTAGAGGATATAGTATTTTTTATTAGGCATACTATTTACCTAATAATTCCTTTTTTATTTAGGTATGAAAAACAAATTTTATAGTGTTTTATATGAATAATAAACATTAATAAAATTAATTTATTTCATAATTATTTAGGTCCAGTAATATATATTACTGCTCTTATTTTAATCTATTGTTTTATGTGTTTTAGATATTCTTCCGGAAGAAAGCATCATGGATGAATTCAAGAACCTTAATGTTTATTGGATTGCACGTTATCATAGTCATGTCAAATGTCGAGGTGTTTTAGTAAGCAAAGGTTATCTCCTTTCATTCCAAGCATAATTAATTATAAAATACCGCGCAAGTGCCTTCAAGCAAACATTCCATGTTGATTCTTGCATTTCTCTTCTTATTATTATATTTTTTTTTGTTATCTGTTTTATAATGTTACCTTCTATTTGTGTTTAGAACATTTAGTTAATTGTAGATGTAACTATGTCAGTATTTTTAAATAGTTATATTGTTTTCTTATTTCCAGAATAAGCTTCTTTAATTGCTTAAGAACTTCTCTTTTAATGTTTTTCCATACAGTTAAATCTAAAGTGAAAGTGATTTTCAGCTTTAATGTTGTATTATACCAGCTTTAAACAATGAAACATTTTATTTATGTATTATATTTTTTAAAGTATTATTCTTAAATTAAAACACTTATACTTTATTGTTGTTGTTTTTTATATATATTTAATAAGTTGTTATGTAATGTTCATAATGATTTATGTTTTCAATAAATAATTTAAACTTAACTTAATTATTTATCATTGAGTAACTCAAAACATGTTGCAATAGTTTTTAACTAATTTTACCAAATATATTTTTTATGGTATTATCAATTATAGAGCGTTCACCTACTTGAGCAATAAATGTTTATTAAGAAAATTTAACAATAAAGTTATAAATTTCAGTTTTGCTGCAATTTATTGCAAAAATATTTTATATAATTACTCACAGTTTACATGGATATCTTCATATTTAATCCTTTGATGATGGTTGACTGCTACAGAGATTGTGTATTGCTCTCCAGATGTGCTGTATGTAGATTGTTTGGAAATATATTTCTTTTCATTATTTTTTTTTCAAAATACTATATTTAAAATTTTTTAACTGGTAAAGGAAGGAAATTTGTTTTTTTATATAAATATAATGAATAAAAATAAAAAATTATATTTTATCATAAGGTATAAATTTAACCAACTAAATAAATTATAAATTAAATTTAAAAACTGAAAGAAATAACTACTACTTTTCAATTATCTAATTTGAAGTGTATATAAAAATATTATTATTATTGAATATCTATTCCACTATATTATTACCCACCACTAGGAATAAATATCACATTTGTGTAACATTTATATAAATTTGTTACTTGTTTTAACATAAAATTATAGATAAAATTCTAAGAATTATTAACTAAAATTTATTTATGCACCAAATTGCTTAAAGGAAAATAAATATCTAATTAAACCTAGTCATTTTTATTTGGTAAGAAAATTCTTACAGTTATAAGTCTTATACATAAAGTAAAAAACAATAAAGAAGTTAGTTAGGTTTCAAAGTCATTGATTAGCGTTTGAATCTCCACTTATATGTAATGGTTCTAAACTGTTTTCCAAAACGTCCTGAAATCAAATCAAAGTATAATTAATCATAAATATACATACTATTTATACATCAACTCAAATTGTTTAGTGAAGCCACTAAAATACAAATTAATATTTAATATAAAACCATAAAAAATAAATTAATAATAAATATAATAAAATAAGCACTAATATAAATATGTTTGGTTAATCTATCTGATATTAACTCACTGATAACTGTTTAAAGAGTCTAAAGCTGAAAACACATGAAAAATTGAATTTCAGCTAAACAAAATAGACATTATCCTGAGAATATAGGAATTCTATAATGAAATTTTCCAAATATTTTAAATCATCAAATCTTTATCTTTAAACCCTTTAGTGCTAAATGGGCAATAGTTCAGGTCTTACTGAACTACCTCCTAGTGTTCAGCTGTATTCTTAATTTGCAGAGTGTTAAGTAGCTTATCTCAAAGGCCATCACTTGAATTCCCAGTTTCATTTCTATAGATGTTTAGATAGTATCTATTTAAATTAAAATCACTTGATTTTCAGCATTACTTCCCTTTCCATTTAGATTCAAATCAATTTAAAAACATCGCCTATCTGTCAGGATACAATAAATTCTATATCCTAATTTGTGTTTAGTTTAGAACATATAAGTCTGAGGCTATAGAGATAGCAATTGTTTCAATTTACCAAACCAGGTTGGAGAAATAACAATAAATATGAGTGAAATACTTCTTGGCAGAGTTAGTTTAACAGGGAATGTCATAAATAATATATACAAAAAAAAAACATATAAAATAAGATAAAAAATACTGTTTTTTACATTATTACTTAATACGTGGTTAGCCATTTTCTGACTGTTGCGAGAAAAGAAGTTGGAATAGGAGGGTTTTAAAAGTGGATAGGGAGAGAGCATGTCGAATTTTTAGAAGTAAGGAATTCCAGAATGAAGCAGAGCGGACTGCGAAGGAGATTTGAAAAGAGGCAGATCTGTGAAAAGGAGTATAAAGTTCTGATGGTCGAGATCTTGTGGTGAGAGAATGGACAAAGGACTTGAATTGGAGAAAATCATAGGTATAGGAGGGACGACGATTGTTGATAATTTGATAGAGAAATGTGCCAAGGAAATGTTGTGTATATATGTATATTTACTTGTCAGAAGTTCAACTTACCACTTCATCTTTGTTTGGACTGAAGTCACACTGCTGCATATTATTCCAATCAATTTCTTCAAAATCAATGACTATTTTCTTATTTTTTGGGCTGAAAGGTCTAAAAATAAATAAATAAATTAAAATATGGAATAAGTTTTGAATGATTCAGTTCATTAGAGAACACAACTTTGTGCTAAAATAAGCAGACTTTAGTTAGAACAGAATAAATCAATTTAATATATATTTCTTTTAACAAGGTAATAATCCTAACCATCTCTTGCAATTGTCAATCCTACATCTTGGACCATAACAAATGGTAATATTGAATAAGTTTTGGAGATCAATATGGCATATGGAAAGTTGCTTATATTTCTCTACTTTCTTTTCACTTATCTGCCTCATTTTGAATATGAGATCATCTATGCTTCTCAATGGTTTAAACCCATATTGCTCTTCATTCAATAGTCCTTAATGAGACTTTTATTCTCTTTCCAAATATCTTTGAATACACCTTGCAAGGGATACTAAAGAAAGAAATGCCTTTGTGGTTTCACATATCTTGTTATTCCTGCTCTTATCTTAAATATTGGTACTATTAACGACAGTTCCCAATCACAATGTAATTTTCTTTTTCTTTGGTATTAAATTAAGAATATTTCACATAATTTCTTTTTCTTAAACTTCCAAGAACTTAATCAATTCAGTGTTATTTCATCGTGGCCAGAAAATTTCCCAAATTTTAATCTGTTTAAGGCTTCTAGCTCCTCCTCTTCCATAAAATCATATTCATCCTCATAGGTTACTTAATCTTCTTACTTAACAATCTTATATTCTTTTCAGCTCACCATGAAATTATGAAGATATTCTTTCCATCTCTTCATTATTTCTTCCCTTTGGTAAGGGATGTTTACTTGATCTTTACTTAATTTTAGGTAGCTGTTTATCTTACATTAGGGAGTGGGGTAGCTAGTGGTAGGGTGCTGACTTCTAATGCTCAAGGTCACAGGTTCGATTCCGGTTGATGATAGATAAATTATTTATTCTGTTTCGTCGGCCGATAATTGATCCTGGGATTGGGAGGCCTTTCTGTGGCAAATCCAGCCTCTATAACGTGGGCACCGTTCATTAAATAATTGATTAAGGGGGAAAACCTTTTCTTTTCTTTTCCATAATCACCTCATAACTCGTTATTTATTTTTTTAGGATATAGTTGCTGAAAGTTTTATTATTCAAGTAGCTCTTCCAGGGACACTTTTTTTCTTTCACCACCCTCTTAATTTTATCTTAGCCATGCTGTTTCCCTCACATGTGGATCTTCTTTCTTCCACTTACCATTGCTGCAGCATGCATGACTATTGTTTTAAAAGACATTCAACTTTCATGTACACACACACAGAGATTGTATCACAAGCTAGTGCCTTCAAGCTTCAAGGAGTCTTGTGTTAACTCGAGTGTATTAAAAAAAAAATGTAACTATTATATCCCAATTTTTTTTTATTTGAAAGAAAATGGACAAGTTCCTTTTTCCTAAAAAAAAACAACAATGTTTTAAAATAAAAACCAGGATATGTATAATTTTTCTACTGGAATAAAATATAATCTGACTACAGATCCATATTCTACATTAAATTTCACATTAGGAAACTATATTTAACATAAGATCTTAATTATGGAAAAAAAATCAATTAATAGTAAAATAATAATTGTGGAATTTAAATTTTTGTAAATTGAACTTTCTACTAATATCTACTATTAAGCTCCAACTTCACCAATAGTTGTTTCAAGGGACACTCTTTAGGAATTGTTCTTCCTTATTGATATGGTTTGACAACATATTGAATAATACCAACCTTAATTTTGAAAAACAAGGATTAAAAATACATGAGATGGGTAGTACTATAAAATTAAAATAAACATTAACTTCTTAAACAAATGAAAACATGAGTTTCAAATAAAATAATCTGCCATAAGAAGCTAAAATAAAAAACTATTGAAGTTGTTAAAATTGCCCACCTTCATGAACGATGCACTGTTGATATCTTATAACAACTTCTGAAGTAGTCCATAGAATTTACTTCATTGTTCATTCTCATTTTGTCAAATGTTTGATGAATTCTGTTGATCGGCTGGTTCACCGATTTTACTTCTTTTATTGCTGGAAAAGATCATGACTAAGTGAAAGAAAGCATTCAATCTGAGAACCCAGGGGTTAACCCATAGGATATAAACTCAACTCAAGTTACCATTCAAAGAAAATGTTCATTTTAATTTGATATTAAATAGTTTGAACTTAAAACTGTATTCATTGTTGATATTCAATTGAATTGAAACTGAAATTGGTATTATCTTGTGTGCCTTTTTTGTGATATGTGAAGATGAAATGAGCACTTCAAAGGCTCAACAATAACAAAATAAATTAAAAGGCAAGAAGCAACAGATTTTTGATGTTTTTGATAGCAACATTTGATCACAACAATTTCATTATGCTCTCAAGTAAAGTCTTTTGACACCAGTATTGTTAATATACAAATGTTAATTTTTTAAAAGAAGAAAACATTTATTTAATTTTTTGTCTATGGTTACTTTAACACACTTCTTCTGTCCTGAGTGTACTTATGATTAATTAAATTTTATGGTTAACATTTTTAATAAATTGAAGACCTACATATCACACATAAAAAAAAAAGTTATGAAGTAAAATAAAAATCAGATCATGTTTTTCAAAATTGAAGTTTCCATAATTCCACATGCAGTTAAATTATGTGAGTGAAAAATTACAATTCCTAAAGAGAGTTCCTTGAAGCAACCATTGGTGTATTAGGAGCCTTTATAATGTATGTTAGTGAAAATTTCCCAAAATTGAAGACATAATTGTAACTTTACTTTAATTTGATTTATTTTTTCCACCATTTAGATTTTCCATGTTAAATATTGTTTCTTAATATAATCTTAACACTGATAAATCCTCACAATTAATTTCTATTGAAGAATTCATCCCGTGTTAACTTAGAACAGACCTATATGAATTTTTTCAGTTATCCCTTATCTTACCTTATCTGGCATTCGGAGGAGTTGTTGGGTCTGCCACAAAATAAATTTTAACCCACTTTGGCCTGATTTAAACTTGAGAATCATAAAGGCAACACTTCAACTAAATCAGGCACAACAGGCCTCCAATTCAAAACTGTTTATTGGACTGCAAACCTGGTGAGGTTTCTAGAGTCTCCGGAAGGCTCTAAATGAGACTAAATAACGTTTGCTATTTTTTTAATTTTGACATCCAAAACTATATATAACACAAATTACAACTATTACTTAAAAGTAAGTATCAATAAACAACAGCACAATCATTTGGCCTCTGTTGCTTCTTATAATTTCTTTTGTGCCTCTTAGCGTGGAGGTGTCCCAATCCAATTCTGCCAAGCACCCAGATCCCAGATCAGTGTCTTCATGAAATTAGATCTTCCTTAAGGATGAAATCTGGTGGGCTTGACTTCAACAAATTTCCATCTATCCATCCAACAACAGGAGCCTTCAGTCTACATAAAAGCACGAATGAGAATGGTCAAAGGCTCATAGACTTTGCTGCAGTACAAGGCCTAGTCATTAGCAGCACATTGTTTCCTGGCAAGAACATCCACAAATCCACTTGCAGATCGCTAAATGGGGCAGTCACAAACCAAATCGACCACATTTTAATTAGGTCATGCCACAGATCTAACCTTATTGGAGTTAGAGTCTACAGGGGCGCAAACGTCGACTCGGATCACTTCTTGAGCATCGCCAGGACCCGCCCTCGAATATCAACGAAAAGATATGTAGCAGCTGGTCCGGCCCAACAGAAATATGATGTATTCAAACTAAAAGACATGGAACAGTGCATAACACACCAGCAGCGATTGGAAGTTAAACTCGCGGAGGAGTTGAGAGAGAGAGTCGAGACAGTGGATGATCAGTGGGCAGGAATAGCCGAAGCTCTCAATGATACAGCGAAGAAGACGCTCGGACCTCAAACAAGGAAGGCCAGGACACCGTGGTTCGGCCATGACTGCCTAGAATGCACAACTCGGAAGAACGAGGCATATAAGAAGATGATCCAACGTTATACGCGGCGATCACAGGAGGAATATAGAAACAGGAGAAGGGAGGAAAAGAAGATCCACCACATAAAGAAAAGAACATGGGAGAAAAAAAGAATGGAGGACATTGAGACCCACAAAACTTTACATGAAAATCGGCTATTCTTCCAGAAGGTGAATGAAAGGAGGTCGGTTTTTAAACCGAGAGTCACCTCCTGTAAGGATTCAGATGGAAATCTCCTGACGGAAAAGGGAAAGATCCTGGTGAGATGGAGGCAGTACTTTGGAAAAGTCCTTCATCAAGACGATGCAGATGAAGAAGCCAGCATCATTTCAAGAGGGGAAGACCTCTCAAACAAAATCGAGGCGGCCGTTATGAAGCTAAAGAATAACAAAGCCCCGGGACTAGACGGCATACAGCGGAGATGATTTGCTGGTTTTGGACCATATTAAGATAAGCCGCTTAATATATTATGTTAACTCACGGTAGTCTTTATCCTATTCCAGAGGATAAAAAAGGGGTTTTAAATTAGTGTCCCTTCCGTTGATGAGCTGGAGAAACCATCGTTAGGTTACCTAATCTGGATAATTTGTCAATATATTGTGAAGATATATTTGTAAATAGTGTAATTAGATAGGTATAGATAGGATTAGGATTTTAATTATAAATTTTATAAACGGAACTTGGTAATGGACCTCAGAATACAAACATAATTTCTGATGATAATATTTAAAAGTTTAATAAGTTGTAATTTGTTTTGGCCGGATATTGCTAGGTAAAATCATTAAAATAAATAATTTAAGTTGTATGTGTCAATATCTCATGTGAATATATCTTTAAGAAAATAATCTGTAAGTAAAGAATAAAAGTTAAAAAAATAAATAAATAGTTAAGATGTAACTCAAAGGGATCCATAGAAAAAAAAAGAAAGATTGTATTGAATAAGTAATGTGCAGATGTTTCAGTATTCACCTAAATTTAATGTAAAAAAAAAAAATTATTTTCTTAAAATATTTTTTTAACCCGGAAGTAGGGAGAAATGTAATATACACCTTAATTGGAAGATGTTAAAAATGATTTAATTAATTAATGTAATAGTTAAAAAGCAAGCTGGACTGTTCACACACACACCAATTTGCAGGACTTGGTTATTTGGACTCAGAACGCAGGGATTAGCTGATGTGCAAGGCTAGTGGAAATTAACGCTCCCTCGAGTTCAGTACACTGCACAAACACACACAAAATAGTACACAATACACATAGACTGACATAAGGTCACATACACTACACACCCAAGGGTCACCTTTCCTGGGATGACCCTTTGGAAGAGGGTATAAATTGTCCCCAGTTGTTTTGAGGTAACTGGGCCTCTATTACTTACTTGGCCAATTGCCCCTGATTCAGGGCAAACAAAGTTGCCTCGGAAATGGACGGACAAATCTGTCACGACATGGTGCTCTAAGGGACATCAGAATTGGAACATGGAGTATTAAAACATTGAATGAAAAAAAAACAGAGATCATGGAGGAAATGAAGTCATATGGTGTGAAGTGAGGAAAAAAGGGCATGGAGAAGTAAGTCTGAATAAACAACACATACTCATCTACTCTGGAGTTCCCGCAGGTTTCAGAGCAAAAGAAGGAGTGGGGATTATAATGAAAGAAAGCCTATTTGCCAAAGTAGAGGACTGGGAACCTATATCTTCCAGAATAATAATAGCAAATATAGAATTGTCAATTGGTAAAGTAACTCTGATTCAGACCTACACACCAACAGAAGAAGCAGATATTCTAAATAAGGAGCAATTAAGTACAGATCTAGAAAAAGAAATCACAAAAGGGTAAAACAGAAACAGAGACATAATTATAATGGGAGACTTCAATGCCTGAATTGCAAGGGACTATACAGTCGGACACGGAGCCATGGGTTATCATGGAAGTGAGCACACAAGAAATAGAAATGGGCACAGGCTTATAGATTTTGGTGTTGATTGTGACCTACTCACTGGAAATTCCTTCTATCCACAAAATAATGTTATCTGCAAAAGAGATAAATGTAAATAGTATAATAGACTACATTATATACAGTCGAAGGATCAGGAAACTGTTTACAGATATCAAAGTAATCAGAGATGCCGAAATTGGCTGAGACCACCTTCTCCTTATAGGAGATATTCAAATCCTCTCTCTCAAGAAGAATTGGCCCAGAAGCTATATGAAGATTAACATTAAGATACTTCAGACACCTGAAAACAAAAAGAAATATAAAGAACTTCTTAATCCCAATCTCCAGGAACTCGGGATGGATGAAAATGTGGATGTTCTGTGGGGGAAAATAATAAATGCAATAATGGAACCAGCAACCACTTTGCTGGATGGACTTGCGGGATCACAAAAATCTCACCAAAAAAACAAAAGATCAGAATGGTAGAATGAAAGAATGAAGGTGGCAGTTGCAAAGAAGAAAACTGCTTAAAAGGACTATATTAGAGATAAGACTCCAGAAGAAATGAGGAGAAATTAGTTGTTAGAATGGCAAAAAGGCAGAGTTGGGAGGAGCCTACAGAACAACTACCATGACAATGTTAAGGTTTTCTGGATAAAAATTAAAACAATAAAAACAAAGAAAAGTAAGCCCATAAGAAATATAAACGATGAAAGAGGCAGACTAACCACCAGATATACAGAAATTCCGGATAGATGGAAACACCACTATAAGGATGTTATCTGAAGCAATGATACTGATAATAAATTGAGTATATGTGAAACTCCTCTACAAGAATTTAATGAGATAATTAGGAAGAGGTTGAAAGTTCAATAGAAAAACTAAAGAAAGGTAAGGCAGCCGGTGGGGATTGTATTGTGCCAGAATTTATCAAATACGGGGAAACTAAACTGATGAAAGCCCTACAGTGCCTATTTTAAAAAGTATTGACTAAAAAAGTTGTTCCGGAGGATTGCAAATATAATATAATTGTTCCAGTACATTAAAGGAAATACAAGCGAATGCGGAAATCACAGACCTATTTGTCTCTCAGTAATCGATAAGGCTTGGGAACGGAACAGCAATGTATTCCACACATAATGTTGAAGTCATTATAAACGATATCCAATGTATATCTATTTCTAATTTGAAAAAAAATATTTATGTAATAAAATAATTCCCTGACGTCTCAATGTATTGAAAATTCCCTGAATTTTCCAGATCGGTCGCCACCTTGTTTAAGGGCCCCTTACACACTCAATATTCTTGAGTCAATATTATTAAAGCAATAAAATTAAAGGAAATATATTGAAGGGATCCCTCACACCTGTCAATTGTATAATCAGTATTATGTCAGTTACATTTTGCATTCTCCAAAGAAGTTACCTTCTTTCATTTTTCTGAACATGAATTTCATAATACTTTAATTTCCTTGGCCATGGCATAAAAAATAGGATTATACAACAATAAAACAATACAACTTAACAATTGACTAAGTGTGGTGTAACATTGTTAAGTAGAATAGAAAAAAAGACAAATGTTAATGTTAATAGAAGGTAAAATAAAAAATTAATTGTAAATACATTTTAAACAAATATAAGTAAATATGGGAAAATTTGCAAGAAATACTAATAACATTATGATGTTCTAACAATGAAAAGAAATGCCACTGAAGATGGACAAAGAGTCCGAAACATTGGACAGATAAATAAATTGACATATACGGAAGAGAAAAGTTTTCATGCTTTATAATTAAAATATGTTACAATCGATAAAAATAATAACTAATACATTTTAAGAAAATAGTTTTAAATTAATAACTTACTCGTAAGTTACTCCCGCTACATCAAACATTTTTTTGGCAGCTATTGTTTCAGCTTTATAGGAATGTTTATCAGATAAATAGACAACTTTCTTGATTCCAGACTGTATAATAACTTTTGCACACTCATTACATGGAAACAAACCAACATACATTGTACATCCATATAGATCAGTACAGTTTTTGTTTAAAACAGCATTAAGTTCAGCATGACATACTAAAAAAAATGAAATAACATTATATTTTCCTTCTGAAAAAAATATGAACTATTAATACTTTGTATTTTAAAGTTGAAAAATACCATATGTATGTTTTGTAGTAAGTTTATCCTTGGACTTTTGCCATGGAAATTTATCATCACTACAACCATTTGGCATGCCATTATATCCGATACCCACTATTATGTTTTTTCCATTAACTATACATGCTCCTACTTGTGTGATTGGGTCCTTACTACGCATAGCAGCGAGAAAAGCGGTTGCCATAAAATATTCAGGCCAGTCCAAGTAATTGGTTCTTTTTCTAGGAACAAAATGCAATGATTAATGCTGTAATTTACAAAAGCTAATATTTAATGAAAGTATAAATCTTCATTATAATACATCAAACAAACTAAATATATGTTAATAAAATAATTTTGAAAAAGATTCTTGCACCAACTTTAATTATTTCTCATTATTTTATGTCTGAGATAATTTTCTTAAAATTGAATTTGTTACCAAACTTTAAAATTAAGTTTACGTTTTATTACTAATACAAAATGTATAGGGATAATAATACCTTTCTATTATATAAAAAAAAAAATTGGTGACCTTGTCATATTTTAAGGGATAACATTAAAGCAGTCAGTAACTCGTTTCTAGGAAAAAAGGAAAATAAGAATAACAAACCGTGGTTTGATGAAGATTGCTTAAACATGTGTGAAAAAAGAAAAGCTGCTAAATTAAAAGCTCTAAATAATTCTAGCGAAGGCAATCTGGAATAATTCCGAACCTCAAAGAATCATCATCATCACAGGCACTACAACCCGGTATGGGTCTTCGCCGCATCAATCCGTCGCCTCCATTCCTCTTTATCTTGTGCAAGGGTCTGCCAAGATCTAGTGTTCAGAAGCTTCGATCTTCGAAGCTTCTGTGTCGGCTTCGACCTCATCTGCCCATCTCAGTCATGGTCGTCCTCTCTTCTGCCATCCACATACCCAAACAGTAGCCGCTTGATTGATGAGTCCCCATCCATCCTTGCAACCTGCCCAGCTCATCTTAGCCTAGAGAGCTGTATAAATTGCACCACATCCGGTTACCGGTAAATTTGGCACAACTCTGCATTATGCCTTAGCCTATACTGATTTTCAACTTTTACAGGGCCAAACATTCTTCTCAGGATTTTTCTCTCGAAAATCTGCAACCTGATGGTGTCTGTTCGTGATAATGGCCATGTCTCTGAGTCATATGTCAGTACAGTTTTAGTAAGAGATTTGTACAGAGCGATCTTAGTGAATCTAGCCAGCAGATGACTTCTTAAAATTTTAGCTAGGCCAAAATAGCACCTATTAGCTGATGTAATTCTTCTCTGCACTTCTTGACTAGGCACATTATTAGCACAAACTAAGGATCCTGGATACACGAAATTATTTACGTTTTCAAATGTGTATCCTCCAAATATAACTGTGGGTGGTGGTGGCCTTAGTGAGTTGGCAATCATATATTTGGTTAATACTTAGACCCATTACCTGTCCTGCTGCCTCTATAGCTAAGAAGGTCCTTTCTAAGTCCCTCTGTGATCTAGCTATAATATCTATGTCACCTGTGTAGGCCAGAATCTGTACTGATTTGGTGAGAATCATTCCACTTCTTTGCACTTCAGAGTCCCTTATCACCTTTCCTAGTGCAAGATTAAATAGCAGGCATGATGAGTCATCTCCTTTTCTTAGGCCCCTTGTAGTTATGAATGCCTCTGACAGGTCTCCCTGTATTCTGACTTGACACCTTGATCCAGCAGCTCTGTAAGATGGATCAATTCAAGTGGGATATTCATTGTTTTCATAGCCCGATACAACCTCTCTCTGATGACACTGTTAAAATCTATGAAACGGTGATGTGTTATAATATTATATTCCCTTGTTCTTTCAAGCAGGGTCCTTAAGGTAAAGATCTGATCGGTGGTAGATCTGCCTCTCATGAAACCACATTGATCGATTCCCACCTCTCTTTCTGCATGCGGATGTAGCCTCCGATAGATGACGTTAGATAACGCCTTATATGAGCAATGGAAGAGAGTTATACCAAGGTAATTATTGAAGTTGGTTTGGTCTCCCTTTTTATGGAGAGGGATGATGCCGGTGTACCATTCCTCAGGCATGTTCTTAGTTACCCAAATACTGTGGAGAAGGTCACGGATAACTTTGATTAGTTCGTTTCCTCCAGACTTCAAAAGTTCAGCGGCTATGTTATCAGATCCTGGAGCTCTGTTGTTCTTTAATTTTTGGATGGAGTCATATATTTCCTCGTCATCTGGTGGATCGCTTAACTCGGAGCCATTACACAGAACAGGAATTTCACTATTCACTGTGGGGTCCTCGGGGGTTCCCAAAATACTTCCAAAGTGAGTGACCCATCTACCAAGAATGGTGCCTTTGCTTGTAATAAGTGATCCATCCTCTCCTCGGCTTGGAGGCATCCATCCAAGTATTGAATCTTGGCTTGAATTCTTTACGCTGGGCATTCACATTCTTGTAGAAGGTTCTTACGTCCGCTTGACTCCTTTGTTCTTCGATTTCCTTTATTTTTTTCTTGTTCTTGTTTCCTCTTTTTTTTTCTATGAATGCATTTCTCTTCTCGCCTTCTGTCTTTGTATTCCTTAACTGCTTGGCAAGTTCGGTGCCTCTCTGTGCTACCTGGCACTCCGAGTCAAACCATTCAGATCTTGTGTGGGTTTCCTTCATACCCAAAACCTCTTCTGCAGTTTGCTTGATGGCAAATTTGCAGTGGTTCCATCTTCCGTTCACCGAATCTTCATAAGAACCTCTAAGAATGAAACGACAAAATTGCTCAAAAATAAGAAATGGGAGTACCTTAAAAATAAAATAATAGAAATAGAAACTAATAGAATCAAAAATAATGTGAGAGACATGTACAAAGCTATAAACAGATCACGTAAATGTTTATGGCCTATCACGTCTGGAATTAGGGATGAAAATAATATTTTAAATACGGGAACTTATAATCTGTCTTCCTTCTGAGTACGAGAGTGCTGAACCGTTAATAGAAGAACCGAATAAAGAGGAAGTTGAAGTAGCTATCGGAAAATTAAAATCTTATAAAGCAGCGGGAACTGATAATATTCCTAGTGAACTAGTTACCTGTTATGGACTACTGTTATGCGGGGATGCTGGAGTTTCTAAAATATATTTGTTGGTTAAAAAGATCTGAGAGAATGTGAAATTACCTGAAGAATGGAAAGAATCTATTCTTATTCAGATTCACGAAAGATCCGAGGATGGATTGTAATAACTATCGAGGAATTGCACTCCCTCCGGGATGTTATAAGATATTCACTTTAATTTTAACTAGTCGAATCTCGGAATACGCCGAGGAAATTATCGGTGACTACCAATCCGGTATCCGCATTTAGAAGGAGACACTCGATTATTGAGCAAATGTTTTCTTTACAGCAAACATTGGAAAAAAAATTAAAGTACAACAGTGTTGTTCACCAACCGTGTATCAATTTCAAAAAGGCTTACAATTCTATTGAGTGCCAGAAACTGTTTAATATTCTAATCGAGCAGGAGATTCCAAAAAAAATTAGTAAATCTAGTCAGGATGTGCAACACTCATGTGATTGCAACACTCAATAAAGTTAGAATTGGTAATAATTTATCCGAAAAGTTTGAGGTTCATTCGTGTTTAAAAGAGGGTGATTCCTTTTGCCAGTCCTGTTCAAATTTGGCATTAGGGATGTCATTAGAGAGGTAATGCATTAGAGAGGAACATGTCATTAGGGAGGTAATGCATACCGAAAAAGTGTTGGATCTGGATGAGACAACACCCGTGCTTGGTTATGCAGATGACCTGGCCTGTTAAGCGAAGACACGGAAACTATAATACTAAATACGACAACGTTAATGAAAGCCGGTAAAGAACTAGGGCTTGAAATAAACACAGATAAGACAAAACATATGGTTAGCTGCAAAAATAGCGATATTGATATAGAAGATAATATGTTTGAACAGATAGAGAAGTTTAGGTATCTAGGGTCTTCGTTAATAAGAAAAAACGAAATTGAAGTGGAGATTAAGGTTAGGCTGAAGGTGGGAAATGCTTGTTATTTTTCTGTCAAAACTACTCAGCTCGTGCCTCTTGTACCGGAACTTAAAAACTAGAATCTATAAAACCATTATGTTACCTACAGTTCTTTATGGATACGAAACGTGACCGCTTACAATAAGGGATGAGCAACGTCTTAAAGTTTTTGAAAATAAAGTATTGCTTAGAAGAAGGATGAGTTAACCAGAGAGTTCAGACTGTTACACAATGGCGAATTGCATGAACTGTATCCAGTTAATATAACTGAGGTGATTAAAGCGCCGCAAATCAAATGGGCTTGTAAAATTGTTGGGCTAAGTAACGAAAAAATTCCTAAAAGGTTAATATTTGCTGTACCGAATGGTAAACGTCCGAGGGGTAGACCGAAGTGAATGTGGGAAGATTGCATTAAAGCCGATCTGAAAGGAGTGGGTTTGTGAGGCGAACGGTAGAGGAAGGTGTGTAATAAGCGATTGTTGGTGTCGGCATCGAACCTCCGGGTTCGCTGAGCCTCTTATTATGATTATTATGTCATATTTTATTTTACAAATACAAAGGGGGACGGACGGACTGTAACGAAGAGACCACCATTCCCAAAATTATTTCTCTTTTGTTATGGTTACTAATTGGCAATAAGAATAATTATAATAATATAAATTGGCAATATAGAGCGATGCATTATATAGATTTTTAAAGAAATTAAAATATTTTTTGAACTGTAGTTTCTAATACAATACTCTGTAGTAGTTATTACAATATGAACTACAGAATACATGTAAATTACAGTAATACAATTTGAGCAATGAGTAGTACAATTAAATAAACAGTTGTATAATTTGTAAAATGAGGGGTTGGTTTGCCGTTAGGTGGACAGGGGGTACCCCCTAGTTAAAGAAAAAATAAAATTTAGCAGAAGGAATTATTTGTATTATGACTGAATATCAAAATTCCCATTATATGCAATGAAATAGAAAAATAAATTTTATTCTGGCACAAAGTTCTCAAAGCATAATTAAAATATTATGATTTAAGGTAGTACGTATGGTAAAAGATTTATTTCTGAACCAGGTACTATCTCTCTTCCTAGAAGAACTGTCATCTCTGCTTCAACTTTCAGAAAACAAGGATATCTTTAGCTTTTGAATTACCAGGCAACATCCATTAGTTTTATAAGCCTATTAAACTATATATGTTATTGATAGTTGAGTATTTTTATTC